ATCATCATCATCATCATCATCATCATCATCATCATCATCATCATCATCATCATTTTCAAGTTTTTCGTCCTCGTCGTCGTCTTGAAGGAGTGTAGGTGTTGTTGTTGCCTTCGTCTTCGTTATTGCTGTCATTATTGTTGCTGTCGTTGTTTTTGTTGTTATCGTTCTTGCTGTTGCTTTATTTTTATCTACACTGCTTAGATGTTCATCTTGGATTTACTGCTCCATTCAACTGCAAAAACTATTAGACTTGAGAAGGGAAGGCAAAGTTCTATTAATAATCACATAGCACATATTATAATTATGTATTTGAAAATATTGTGTCTTGAATAAATACGGGTATTCCATAGTAGACTTAGAGACTGGCGTGAGGGTGGAGATGTGGAAGGGGCAGTGGTCATATAGATTGTAAAGCGCACAGTGCTTGCTTTTGAGCGGGGATATGGGCTAGACTAAGGCTATTTATTATCAAATATTATTGGAAAGAAAAAGGGTACAGACAGAGGAAAATGGAATGTAGATGATGGAGAGTTACGCATGGACTGTGGAGATCGAAAAGGAGGGGCCAGGGAACAGCGGTTGTGCCGAACGAACGCCTCATCTGATTATATCAATCATGGTATAGATGCCCAATGTTCCTGTCGTGTTTTAGAAGCTAACAGATTACGTTAGAATAATGAAAGAGATAACACCAAGTACTCAGGCTATAAAATAAGAGGTAGAACAATCAAAATATGGATTGAGGGAGTCAAGGAAACCTTGGGAAATTATAATATCCCAATTGAAAGAGCCGCAGAGCTGACCTACCCTGCATCTCCCCTCGACGCTTAACGGCATCAGAGGTTGAAAAAATTAAAAAGAAAAAGTAAAGTAAGATTAATACAAATACACTATCAAAGGGCTTGGGACTGCGTTGGTAACATTTTACACCAAGTTCTTTTAAGAAGATCGTGTCAGCTCTTTTTGATTGTAGGCGGAGAACAGGTCAGGTCTGTCTTTTTTGTTCCTTTGCTCGGATACATCGACGAGGTCTCCTGATATTTTGTGCTGTTATCCTCGTCTTTAGCTTGGCCTTTTTCTACTCCAGGTAGTCCAGAGCTGGGGCATAATGATACATTAATGTGGGTTTTGTTGGGGGTTTTTTTTTTTGGGGGGGGGGTATTCT